TATTATTTATTTAATTCTTAATTCAGGTATGAAAAAAGGCTGAAATATGTTTATATGGTTTGGTCTATGTATGCATTCTTAGATGTAGAATTTGTTCCTCTTCATGGAGTGAATCTCAAATCTCTGCAGATAAACTGTCAGCTCTTCCGTAATTCTCCTCACTGTAATTCTCAGCGTAGTTGTCCAGAACTGCAGTTTCAAGCTGGGTTAGATGGAGCAGCAGTAATGTGCTCTTAAAATGGAAAAGGATGGCTATACATAGGGATAGCAAATGTTACATGAGTCTGTCTTGATCACCATTCTTGATTACTGCAGTACTGGTACAGTTCTACCCTAGAAAAGACTTGAGGTTCTTTTGCTCATTCTATTGTAGTAGTTAGGCCATACGAGTTCTTGGAAAAAAAAAAAGCTATTTAAACAGTCAAGAACTCATTAATGAAGGACTTTACTCTTTAAACATTGATTTTTATTTTTTTTTAAATTTTTTTTTTCTCCTCTTTTGTGTTCAGCACTTATTCTCCATCTTTACCTTGTAATGAACAAGTCACACTACTGAAAGATCTCTGGTATCTTTGGCTTTTGAGTGTGTGATTGATTATTATGCACTGCTGTTATTTTGAGATTTCAATTTTGTTCTGAGAAAGCTGAAGTGTTAAACTAGCAAGTTAATTGGAAGTTTGTTTTCAGTGATGCATTTGGCTACATTTTAGGCTAATTCTAGAGTTTCCTGTTCAGTTTCTAGTTTGAGCCTCAGTGAAATACAGCATCTATCAATATACAGAATTATATGGTCAAGATGAAGATGAAAAAAAACAGTGCTAAAAGCGAGTCTTGTAGTGAGATATTAAAACAAAAGCTTGTCAACTGTTTGTTCTGCCCTTTTGTTGTACTGCAGTCAAATTGCTGAAAATATTTGCTGCTTTCTTTTCAAAATTTTCTGTGCATCTCTGAGCCCATCCTTTGTCTTCTCTGAGATTCTTCAGAAGTCTCTCATCCTATCCCAGAACTGTGTATGGCTTGGGAAACAAAACACTTCATGACTTACTCGTTAGGCTAAGTAAGGAGTTACCTTCTGCCTACCTCTTGGAAGATGTTAGAGTAATCATCAAGCAGAGTATTTTTTGGTTTTGTTGTTGTTAGTTACTATTTTTTGAAGGAAACGGTTTATCTGCTTTTCATAGGTGAAGTTAAAATCTGCTGTTCTGGAGCTTAGCAATTTTGTAACTTCCTAATATCAGCTGGGGTTCATGTATTGTATTTGCATAAGTTAAATGTATTATAAACTGGGATCTCTATGGAAGAATTTTTCTATTTCATTAATAAGGAAATATTAGGAATTTGTTACGGGGGAAAATTGTAGTGCTATCTAACTTCATGAAAGTGAAATGTAGACTGTGATTTAGCAAGTTCCAGTATTCTTCTGAGTCATTGACCTAGAAAGCAATGGAACTTAAATGGAATGAGATTTTTATACACCATAGGTCAAAGAAGAGGAGGTTCTTTTGTTCAGTTTGCGTAACTGAATATTAACTCAAAATGTGATAAATACTAAATTTGTATAATTAATACATAATTCCTTGTAAAACATGAAATAAAAATTTTGTAATTTTTTGGAAACTTCCTTAATGCAGTTTCTAAACAAGATGGACTGTACTGGAGAAGATTGAGTGTATTGATGAACTGCAAGTTTGACTTCAGAATAAAGTCTCCATATATTTTGAGGAGGCAGCATGGTAGGATGTCTGCAGTTAACCACGTTTGTTAATGGAGAGTAAATGAGAGGATGCAAACTATCATGAGAACATAAATCGCTGAGGAGGAAATGGGCTGGATTCCTTTTTCTATCTGAGAAGGTGCTATGATACTGAAGAGTAAGTTTCCTAAATAGTTGTATTTTACCTTGTATTTTAAGAAGGAGGGAATGCTACCACTCAAACCATATGTATACATAGTTGTGACCTGAATTAAGGCTGTGATAATTCTTTAACAGTCCTCAAAAGCTGAGATGTTTTGATTGTTCAGGAGGTATCTTCTCCACTCTAAATTGGACTAGTTGTTAATACGAGACTCAAAAGGGCCGGGACTCTAGTTTGATCTGAAGGGAAGTGTGAATTATAGAATCAAGTGTAATTAGGTCAGTACGTGCTGCCCTTTTTTTCTGGCAGTACCGGCTTAAGCACCTCCTCACATCACTTGCATCAGCTCTACAAACTGGTTTGCAGTGGCTAAACAAATGCTTGAGCCAGTACAACTGAAGAGGTGATGGTGCAACTCAGCAACGAGCATTGGGGAAGGGAAAGATTTATTGTTACTCTCAAAGCTGGCACTGCTACGGAAGGTTGTTGGTTTATGCTGGAAAATGGGAAAAACAAATGGTGCTGGTTTCACAGAAGGCCAGTACTGTATTACGTAGCTGCTGTGTAAAAGTTTACGAATGGTAGAACCACCAAGGATACTGCATTAACAGTTTTATTAAACACCTGTATACTACCATAGATATTAGTTATTGTGTACATGTGTTTGTTTCAGGGCTTGTGCTTGATTTTGTTTTCTAAAGATAACTTTTAGTAATGACACAAAAGTGAAGAAGGGATAGACCTTTAAGATCATTTGAACTAGTGAAAACTAGTATGAAAATAACATTTGAAAGGGGTTGGTGCTGTGGGTTGCTGACCAATTAAAGACAAGGTGACAGAATCCTTTTTGCTAAGTCTTGAAGTCAGTGCATTTCTACTTAGACACCAGCTTATTAATATGTTGCTGGTTTTACTTATTTCTTTACTAGATGCAGGAAGAGGGGAGTATTTTAATCCTGTTTGTAATGACTTTAAGAGCATCACTTCTTTAAAACATAAATAACGAAATTCGGTAGCATACAGTTAAACAGACATCAGTTTAATAGCATTACATCTAATGTGTCTTTTCTATGGCCAATTGTTTACAGATTTATTTTTTTTTACAGTTTGAATTTTGAGAGTCTGCTGGTATGTTGGAGGTTTTGTGCTGCTGATGCTCTGTTGCACTTCCTTTCCTGTGGTCACTCTCTTGTATTTCCCTGTGCCATCTCATCTGTGCCCTGTCTGCAGCTTCTGAGGAAGTGTGTTTGTAAGGGGCAGGGGTTAATCAAAAAGTTGGAAGGATAAAAGGCAGATATTATGCATAGGAAAGAAAAGGGTGGGGAAAAACAAAGCAGCACAAGCATGTTTGTTTCTTCTTGCTTGTGACTCACTTTTTCATTACAGAAGGATTTTCAGATGGAGCAGAAAGCTAATTGAAAACAAACAGGAAGTAAAAAGATAATTATCTCTGCACTGAACCATGAGAGGGTTCAGTACCTTTCAGATTAGTAAATTAACAAGCTAATTAATTTGATTGGCTTTTAAACTTATAACTGTTATAAAAGCTATATTAAATGCTATTATATTATTATGTAGTAATACATAGTATTTCATAATATAGAGAGTATTATTTCGAGTAGGGTGCGTCTGGTTGTTAATGCAGTGAATGCAGCCCATGTTTCTTGATCTATCCATAATTTGTGTATACCCTTCATCTTTATGAACATATGACTATTTGATTATTATTTTCTTCAATTTAAGATCAAAGGCATATCTGAAAAAAAGAAGTATCTTCCATGTGCAGCTTTTCATTCTGTCATTACGTACACCTAGCCAAGCTTTCCTGTGCTGGCGTTCCCCTTGGTTACTGTATTGAGTCCCATCTTCCAGATCCAGTGACACTTAAGCACTGAGGTTAGGCGCGCTGCTTTGTGCTGCTCGGGATGAACATGTAAGATACACGTGCCTGGTGTCATTTTCCAGGATGAAGATCTGAAGAGCCCTAGTGCTGGTGTCTCATTCCATTTTAAACCCACTTTTTCTCTCAACACCATTATTTTGATCTATCTATCACTTTTTTTTTTGAGGAGCGTGGTACTAGGGGCAAATAAAATAAAAGCATGGAAAAGTTAGAATGGAATCCTGAAAAAATCATCAGTTGCTTTTGTAGGAAAAACAGTAATACACCCATTTCTCTGAAGGCAACATCTCTCCCCCAGCCTTATGCTTGCTTTGCAACTTGATGCGATTCCTTATGAGTGCAGGAAGGTGGGGATTTCTACTCTCCCATCAGGTTCCTGTAATAACTATTGCCATCTTGAACTACCGAAAGTGACTCATTTCAGTAGTTACACCTGGCTGGTTAGTAAGATTCCAGTCCCCTCTTTCATGCTCTCTGCTGATCAGGTCTCAGCCGGTGACTCTGGGCTTCTGCCAAGTGACTCACTTGTAACCTCTTCTCAGATGCAGCAGTTTTGACCAGAAGTCTTGTGTCATAAGCAGTTTCAGAGTCAATAACTTGCTATTAAAATTTAATTAAATCTACAAATGGATATTTGTAGAGGTGCTTGATGATGCAGCAACCTTTGGATTAAACTAATGGTGTGAACTAGTATCCCTGAGAGGTAAAAACACCCTAGGTTTTTTCCCCGTAGTTTCACTATGATCTTGTCTTAAAGTTCCTTAATTCTGTCTTCTGCCAAAGCTTTTCCTTGTGCCCTCAGTGCCACTCTTCCCTTCGGAGTGTTTCTGTCATGGAATGCTGGTATTTTAAATGTAGGAGCAGTTAGAATTTTTGTGTGTTGACCAACATGAATATAAATTCTTACTTATGTGCGGCAAAAGATGCTGTTGCTGATGGTACCTGATCCTTTCCATGCAGGCTGTCAGCTAAGTACGGAAGTAGGGTTTGTAGGGACTGTGTCAGTGGTCTGTGTGCTGGAATTCAATCATATGTTAACTAAAAATCAAGTATAAATATTTCTTGATAATGTGAAGGTGTCGCATCCTGAGGGTGTTTTGAGTTTGATACGTGTGTCCTCTTCTACATTGGGTGGTCAAGCTGTATTTTGTAGCAAATAAAATTTTACTGGAGCTTGTTTCATGGTTCTTTGTTTGTTTTTTCCAGATACTTAACCTGTATTCTTTTTGTTTGTTTTACAGTTCTACCTTCAAGACACTAAAAGTAGTAATGGTACCTTTATTAACAGTCAGAGACTGAGTAGAGGATCTGAGGAAAGCCCACCATGTGAAATTATGTCAGGTGACATCATCCAGTTTGGTGTAGATGTGACAGAGAACACGCGGAAAGGTAAGGGTATGGATCATTTTTCTTTTTCTTTCCTTCAGTATTTTTATTTAGAACATCTTACCACAACTTAATCTTTAAGAGCAAATGGTATTCCTGTTGTAAGAAAACAGGCTGGGTTTTTGGGTTATCTCTTCCCTCCTTTGTGCTGACAGTGAGTCCTGTGGCCATGCAGTAAGCGGGATCAAGAAACTGATCTGCTGAAAATACTGACTATCACACACACCCTTACCCCCGTCAACCAGATTTTAACTGGGCTGCTTCCACAGCCCACCTTTTTCTGTGTGGGTGCTAGTGTGTGTAGTGGAAATGCAGATCCGGGAAAGGGGACTCAACTGGAACCACAAGTTTAGCTTTTGCCTCACTTAAAGTGACTTACAGCAATTTACGAAGTGCAGCATGGACATGTGTGCATAGTGCTCTGTGGGGTTTTCTGTGCTTTTTTTTTTTTTAATTTTATTTTTGTACCTACCTTTCTGTCAAGTCTATGAACCCTAAAGTTGCAACTAATAACATGGCAATAGTATGAGACTGCATTTCTTGATAAAGTACTCAGCATAAGTTTGAAACAGGCTTGTCAAGGTATGTACTTTTTCTTTCTGTGCCTGCTACTGATTTGGGTTTCTGCAGGTACTCTAAAATGAGGATATTAAAACATTGCTCATTCCAGAAAAGTTTCTTTATGTGTATGTAGACCTAAAACTATTTTTATTTTAAGATTTAGGTGGAACAAAAATTGGAGCTCAACGTGTGTTTATCAGCAATTATTTGCAATTAGTTTATGTGAAGGTTTGTGGAAAGTTCATCCTAAGTAAGCTCTTGCCAGGAATTCTTGCCAGTAGTAGTTCTTCCCAGTGGTTTTATGTTAGTTTTGCAAAACACAATCCCAGCGACCTGGCATTTGTGTAATGAGGGATCAGGTTGTGCAGCCTTCCTTTTCCTCTTCTCTAGCTTTGAATGTAGGAACTGTACTTATGTTATTTGTGAATGTGTTGAGCTGGCTAATGAGGAAGAGCGTACGAGTTTGCTTTCCTCCCTCTTCACGCTCCCCCAAGCAATGAATGAAGATGGTATCATCATTCTGGGGCATGAAACAGCTGCATCGCAGTTAGTGTTTACCCGTGAATGCAATGGGAATGCATATAAACACATTTTTTTCACCAGTGATCTTAGATGTTACTGTTAACCTAATCTAGTAATTAAGCAGACATGAAAGTAGTTTTTTAATTAGTGATTCCCTTTAAAACCATTCTGCATTCTGGTATTTACATAACGCCTTACTTGCACAAGACATTTCAGCATTTTGCTGTGTGTAATTACAAGGTAATGCCAAGATAGGCAGAGTTTACTTGCCCATGTAAATTCTGATTTGTGTAAATATTGCTAGAATACATTTTATTTTATTGTTCAGGCTGTGTTTTAGTAAGTCATTGCCTTGCAAATGCAATCTTGGTTTGGTTCATTGAAGTGGTGGCATGCTCAGTATGTGATTTTTCAGGAAAGATGATAGGAGCACCAATTCCTCTGCGCGTTCTGCTGCCGAGCTGGAGGCATTAACAGGCCCCGGGGAAACATTTCCAACCCTCCTGTTTCCTTATTTGTCCACTTGTTATACGCTGACAAGTGCACAGGCCTGCTTGTTTCCCTCTTCTTAACACAGGACTTACCTATTCATCATCTCATCGTGCTTTTCTCCGCGTTGCTGTGGTTTATATTCCTCTAGCACTTCCTCAGTTTCCCAGTCGGTGCCAGAGCATTCCGAGGGTTAACCGGTGGTGCCTTCCCCGCATGGAAAGGAGCAGCAGGGTCAAACAATACCAGATGATTTGGGTCAAATACAGTTCATGAACTCTGTTCTAGTCAAGTTTGGACTCTTCCTTTTTTTTTTTTTTAATACATCTTTTCTCTCGTGTGGTGCTTGAGAAAGGCCCGTGCTGGGGTGAGGGAGCCCAGCGTGTTCATGGCACAGAGCTCTGCGAGGGGAAGAGGAGAGGTGGATTCCTAACGCTGTGTCGGTTATTGCCACAGCTGCCGTTATCACATCAACAAGTGCAAATAAAAATGAGAGTTTCATTTGCAAACTGCAAGAAAAGAAACCACTTTTGGCTCAAAATTTTTGCTTCATTCCCGTTTTTATGCTCCTTTGCAGCATAAGCCCCTCCTCACCAGGGGTCAGGGCAACTCTCGGTGGGATTTTGGCGGTGCGCGCCGTAGCGTGCGACGCGTTTCAGAACGGCGCAGCCGGTGCGTGACTAAAGTTTTGGGGGAGAATCGCGGTTTTTGCTCGGTCTGGGGTTAACGGCCGTGGCGCAGCCGGCCCGGGGCGCCCCCTGGCGGCGCCGCCTGGCTGCCAGCCCGTCCCGCCGGCCCTTCGTCCGGGGCGGGATGGCGGTGGGGAAGGGCCGGCCCCCGGCAGCGCTCCGTGACCCCCGCGCCCGGCTGGTGAGTGGCACTTGGGACCTGGGGAGAGGAGGAGGGGAAGGGGCTTAATCTGTGGAGAATTTTCTCAGTCCCACTTGGCAGCCGGAGGTTGCTTTCACTGCTTTTGTTAGTCCCCAAAAGGAATAATACAGACTTGAATTTAAGCAATTAACTACTGTCCTGTCCAGTCACTACTATAATAATGTTGCTTTACCTTTCCCTTAGGCTTTCTCTTTATTCTTTCAATTATAACGAACTGATAGCTAAAGGACAGAGTGCAGGGCTTTTTATTTTTTTTTAGTATTATTTATTTTACAAACCTATTAAAATACTTGATACCTTTTTACAGTCTGTTTGAGAACCTCAGCTAAATCCCCTTTATCCCTTAATTTTTCACACAAATGAAGCCTCTGCTTGTTGTAAGATATTTGTTTTTTCAGTCTGAGTATTGACAGAAAAACTTCAGAATTATATAATCTCACAGCAGAGCCACCTGACACGACCCAAAGGTAAAGCTGCCTGTTGGTCTTTCATTTCAGATATACAAGTACTTTCTTCTTGAAATCTCTAATTTCCTCTTTATGCTTTAAAGAAAAGATATTTTTTTTTTAAATTGTGAAAGCTGTGTGTTACACGCTGCAGCTAACATTATTAACGTTGGGTTTTTTAAGTTTTTGCAGTAGCAGACCTGTGAATTCTGGGGACCTAAGTCTAAAGCCAAAAAAGACCCCCAAACCCATGGATTAATCTGTTTTGAGAATAAGGTCCTGTCTGTTTGTCTCTGGCATGTAAATGTAATACTTTATCAGGTCAGCTTGAAAAAACAAGGTGCTGTAGCCAAGGGGATACTTCTCCAAAGCATTAGCTTTTAGCACTGAATAAAGGTTAAGAACAACTCTGTTTAGTTGGATCATTTCTCCTGTATTTTTAGATTCTATTGAGGTAGCTTCCTCAAAGACCTGTCTCGTTTCCCTGGAGTACTACCGTTGTCCTAAAACACCCAATGCCCTTTTTATTTCAAAGCCCGATTAACTGTTTTGCTGATATTAATAACCATGAAAGTAGAGCAGCTACTGGTGGGTGCTTTAGGTATAGTGGTAGATGATAGATGACCATATACTTGTTTGTATCTCTCTTGCGGTAGTATTTTGGGAACAACTTCTTTCCGTCTTTCCATGTAACTGGACAGATTTTTTTTACTTCCCAAATTGTAGAACCATACAAAAAAAAAATATGATTTGACTGTTTGCAATGTCACTGAAAATGGTATCAGTAACATTTCTGGGAAACATTGTGAAGAGAGGTTGAACTTGATGCAAGAATCAGATATTGCATTACCTCCTCTTATTCCTTAGGATTGTTCTTGAGTTCAAAGAATCTTGAATTTAGTCCTGGAGAAGCAAGCTTTCTCCTTCTGGAATGAGAGGCCACTTGTCTGGGGCTGTGTGTTAGATGTGTACTACAGACCTACCGAAATAGAGGGGCATTGTCTTGAATGATGCTGCTCGTAGCGTTCAAGAGGATGTACTTCTCAGTGGTTCCCGTACTCTTCTGGTGCACTCCCTTTTTGGGCCTTGTGTTTGTAAACTACAATCACTTGGCAAGTTCCAGACGTTGGACAGAAATTGGATGTGTGACCTTTCAAGTCCCTGGATGTGCTGATAGGAATCTTGTCAAAAAGGGGGCTTCTTATTTCATTTATACTTCTGCATTGCCATTACCTAGGGCAGGTAAGATGCGTTCCTTTTTCTTCATTTTACGGTCAAAACAGAGAGTTAACTTTTTAAACTTGCCACAGGAATGACATCCTGTGGGTATTCCTGCATGTGGGACAATTGGAACTGGAACCCTCTGCACCTAGGACTAAGCACAGAGTGTAACTGCTTCAGGTCTCCAGTGATGAAGCTTCCCCTCTAGAGGAGGTTCGGGAAGGCAGACCCAGGCACTGGTGCTTGGAGGCGTTCATGAGTCCAAGCATGAACCTCTTGTTTGCCTGCCTCAGAGTTTCTTTGGCTTGGTTACTATAACATTAGCTGCTGAAGTTATAATTAAATAGTAACGAATCACGATGACTTGTATTTGTTTCTTTTCAGTTACCCATGGATGTATAGTCTCCACAATCAAACTGTTTCTTCCAGATGGAATGGAAGCTCGATTGCGATCAGAGTAAGAATAAGTATCTATTCATGTGTAGCAAAATTATACTCCAGTATAATGAGGATTTGATTAAAATCAACACAAGAAGTTTCTTTTCCTGTGATCATGCAAAGAAAATAACTGAGAGCATAGTTCTTTTGCAGGCATTATGAGAAGGAAATCTCATTTGCTCGTTACTTCTAGAAATAAAGACAGCTATGAAAGAATAAAGTTCTATACAAGAATAAGAAAGTTCTTATGAAGTTGAGCTTTTCTGACTGCCTGTGGTTTAGCATACGGGAATGGGTGCTATAAACAAAAGAATATAGGAAAAAAGCAAATGAGTGTTCTCCTGTCTTTTTTATTTGGGATTATTATTTTTGCTCCTTTAAGTGAACATAGAGTGTACGAAAGTGAGGTTAATGATGTCTCGGTGTGTGTACACATAACACTATTTATTTATATTATTCAAATAAATAATACAGTAATGTGTCCTTATGGTGCAGTTATTTGGTGTCAAAATGAAAGAAAGTTTTGCGTGGCATGAGGGGAAAAAAAATATAACATATGTTGGATGGAATAATGTTTGAAACACAGATGAATATGGAGAGTTTTCTCTGTGTGTGTACACATTTTGGAGAAAATTTCAAAGAGCAGTATACACCAAAAATGTAAACGTTTTGTTTGCAGTAACTGAGTGCTAGTTACAAATGAGATAATTTAAATCATATTTCATCCTCAGCAGTTGTATGTTTTTGACTGTTTATTTAATTATTCTTTCATCATTAGTATCCAGAAATATTTGCATGAAGCTTTAGGGTGTCTTTGCTTCTGGGAAGATAAGTCAAAATAAATCATTATGGGAAATTTTCTGTGTAATTGCGTGTCCTAGTAAGAAATAGTAGAATTGCATGGAATTTTTAGTTCTGATTAAAATGTGCAAATATAACATTCACTGTAGGGAAAGTGTATAAAATCCTGTAAGTTACCAAACATTATTTTACTCTGTTGAATTTGTAAACAAGAGTACTATATCCAGTCTTTCCATAATTATTGTTTTATGCATGTAAATTGGCTTAAATCTTAATAAATCAGTTTTAAACAAAAATCAAATATTATGTGACTACTGAAATAAAAGTTGGTAAAGATAGCTTTTAGAATAGACTGTGGATTTATAATTTGAAAATAGTTCTGTAACTTTGAAAACATTGCTCAGCATAGTATTAATTGGTTTTGTATGTTTGTATATTAACTCTTCATTTTTATCTGAAAGATGAACTTAAAACCACAAAGTATCTTGATTAAATGCAGGGATCTTCTAGATTTTTGAATTGCTATTCTGACTTCATTTTTTAATTTTCTTTTTTAGCGTTATCCATGCTCCATTACCAAGTCCTGTTGACAAGGTAATTCAGTAATTTGCTGTTTTCTGCCTTATTCAGCCACATGCTGTTTTCTGACTTTTATAAAGATGGAGAAATAGTGAGGTTCAGTTACAGTGATATACGTTTTCTGCTGTCTATTTTTACCTAGTTTAGTATTTTGAGTAATGTTTAAGGTAGAGAAGGTGATGCAGTGTTGCAGTTTAAGGTAGTTTCACTTACGGCATCTGAAACACAGCTTAGGAAAAAATCCATTGATGTTAAGATGGTTAAATTTCCAGGTACAGGTTGACTGAGTAACAGGTCTTGGGTACTGCAGAATTTCACACTTGTTCTGTTCTGTGGGACCCCAGAGCAGCTCATGATTTGGTGTTTGGGTGAGGTCTGTTGTCCTTGTATCTTGTTTTTTATGGAGGAGAAGCTGCACTGCACAGGCTGGAAAGTGCCCTGATATGTTCCAAAGGCAGATTGAGACCAAACCTCTGCTCCTCCCGTACAGATACAGACAGAGTCACTCACTGTAGAGTCATGGAGCCAGCAATGTCTAGTGTAGCTCTTAAACTCAGTTTTGATAATGTGGGGGACTTGTAGAACAGCTGTCAGTAAAGACACTCTTGAGACAAGTGAGCAGGAATTGATAGTCTCTTTAGCCTCTAAAAAGAAGGGTTAACTTAAATAGGTTTGAATCATAGTTTTAAACATGAAGAACAAAATTTTCAGTAACTAAGGAAACTTATTTGTGAAGTCATCAGCCCGAGGAGTCCATAGACTTCGCATTTAAGTTGAGGTTTCATAACAGTTCATATGTCTTGAATCCGCAGCAAAGACAAAATTTCTGTGGAGGGACTGTGTGAAAAACAGCTTCAAAATTATGCCAGTGTAGGAAGAGCCTACAAGAATTAGTAAATAGACACTTTTGCCACCCCCACCCTCCCAAGTCCAGACAATTTCTGGGACTGGAGAAAGTATAAAGTAAGGCTTACCAAAAAGCAGGCTTTAAGCCTGGCAGAGGTGAGGGCACCAGATACTAAAAGTTCTTTAATTGCATATGAATTAAGTAAGATGGTGGTGCTAATAAGCAGCAAGAACAGTTATAATGAGATATTATAGGCATACCCCAAACCCGAAACAGATACTTATAAAGGGGAATGATGAATACAATGGCTAGTAAGTCAACAGAAAATGGGGGGGGCAGTTTAATCTCAACTGAAACAAGAGCCTTAAACTCAGGGTGCATTGGTGGTTCAAAAACTTGTAAAGACATTAACACAGTAGGGCCTCGGTCCAGAGTTGGGAAGTTCTACCATAAAAAAAAAAAGGCAGAATAATAAATAATTGAAAATGCCAGTTGTTATATAATCTGAAATTTACCTTCATGACTAGATTTAAATGATGAATTTTCCATTGCTTGAGTTTAATGAAAAATCCAAACCCATTTTGATTCTTAAATTCCTTTATTTTTCAGGTTGCTGCTAACACTCCCAGCATGTATTCTCAGGAATTGTTTCAGCTTTCACAGTATCTACAGGTAACTTTTCTTCTTTAGTTTGGCTAAAATATTTAATCTTTGTTCAAAACACAGATCTTATGGTCTGTATATCTTTGATTGCCTTGAATCTTGTAAACTGGAACACAATAAGAATTTAACTACCTTTTTCTGTGGTGAAATAATGTAAAACTTTATTGCCAGAGAGGTGGTAGATGCCCCATCCCTGGAAACATTCAAGGTCATGTTGCATGGGGCTCTGAGTAACCTGATCTAGTTGAAGATGTCTCTGCTTATTGCAAGGGGGTTGGGCTAGATGACCTTTAAAGGTCCCTTCCAACCCAAACTATTCTATGTTGTAATTGACCACAGTATAGACCTGTGTAAACTTCAGGGGTTTTGCATGAGCAGTATGAACTATGACTTTCATAAAGGAAATGTGAAAGCTCCCTGTTTTATAGAAGGCTTCTCAAATGCTATGTACCTGCTTTTTCTGGCCTTTCTCTTGTCCTACCTCATTGTCTCCCATTTTCTTTTGCTCCCAATATTTTAGGCATTGTCCACTGCTGTGAATGTACTGTGTATGCATATAAAAGCTTTGATAGAACCAAAGAATGGCAAAACAAGAGGCCATTTCATGTGTCCAGAACTACTTTGTTTCTGTGAATATAATTTCTTAGTGTGAATACTTCTGTCACTGTACTTATTGGAAAGTATAAAGGAGGGGACAGTGCTGGCAGAACTTTCTGTACCTGCTCCTGTGCCAGTTTTAGGTGTGTTTTTTTCCTAAGATGTCATGTCACAAAAGAGTTAGACTGCAAAAAGGTAACGCTTCGAAGTGTGGGCTAATATATAAAAATAAATTCTTTAGAAAGGATCATTAAATCAGCTTTCTGGAAAAGATACAAAAACTTTCTTCCTGATAAATTTTATGTAGCTTTAATTCATGTATAGTTCTACTAACTTATTTTGCCTGGTTTTCTTTGGTAATGGCAATTTTTATTTGTTCACGTCAGTGGTGAGGCTTTTGAGATGGATACTAACATTTTATGTATTTGCTGACATAGCAGGAAGCAGCTCAGGCAGATGCTCTTTCTTGGGAGGCCAAAATATACTTGCTTACCAATCTGTTCATTCTCTATATCCTGGAATTGTGAACGAAAATGCTCTTCTATCCTACTGTCATAAACCAAAAATTGAACAAAAATAGTAGCTTTTGTTTGGCATTTTTCTTTTGTGACCTGATTGGAGGATGAACATCTCACTGCATGGGAGCTGCCAAGCTGCCTTTTGGTGTTTACAATTTTGTTACTCGAATTACTGACAGAAGTCAAAGTGTGATTAAGTCTTGGAAAAAATAATTTGTTACTGTGTGTACTCAGCCTGTGCAATGTATGCGTGGAAAATGAAGGCTTTTAGGAACCTGAGTTTGTAGGATAACATTTTCTAATTAAATATCCAGGTAAGTGTATGGATGGATAAAATGGGATGGGCTTACTATAGTTTTGAATATGTGACAATCTTTGCTACTCACACTTCCTTTTTTTCTTCTATTTTGGTATCTCTTATGGTGCTTCTCTTTTTCTGAGTTGTTCTAGATGAACTGACTGGTGCTCTGCTTTCTTCATAGGAAGCCTTACATAGGGAACAAATGTTGGAACAGAAGCTGGCAACCCTTCAGCGACTACTTGCTGTCACACAAGAGGCTTCAGATACTAGTTGGCAGGTATCTGCAGGCATTTTTTTCCTTTATGGACTGAAATATGCAGTAGCATATAAATTTTCGCTATTAATTTATAAAGAATGGGAGGAAAAAGCAGCAGAAAGAATAAAATGCTTATGGCGGTTCTCTTAAACTGTGTAAAAGATAATGTTTAATAAATCTACTGATTATGTACTAGTTTGAAATAACTATTAGTAGCAAATGATCCAACAAAATTAAAGTTTTTAAAGCAGAACACTACTGGAACTACATAAAGCACATGTTAATACTAAGGTGATACTTTTTTTCTGCTAGGCTTTAATAGATGAAGACAGGCTGCTGTCAAGATTAGAGGTTATGGGAAATCAATTACAGGCATGTTCAAAGGTAAGTAATTCACTTATGGTTGAATTCTAGCAATGCTGAAAAATAGCCTTTTTGAAGAGTTTTGAAGTTAGTTGTAGGAAAGCCGTTGGAACATACACCTTCTGAAATGAGCCTATGCAGTTTTGATAATCTGAATAGCATGAAACCTGTAGATCTGTTCTATACTTCATGAAGTCATTTTAAGTCTACATAAATGGCTGGTTTTCAGCATTTTTTAGCACAAACTGATTTCTTTTGTATATGCTTATAAACATGTATGTACTAAAGTGAAGAGAAGGAATTTCTGTCATTGGTGAGAAACAACCATTCTGTCCTGTTTCCTATGGATGTTTCTTTCCAAATAGGGATTTGAAAAAAGGCATTCTCAATGAGCTGTCTGATGTTCAGAGACAGAGTAACAAGTATGCCCTGTCTTGATTGTTCTTTAGGCTACCTATGCTTGCCTTACATTTTTTTAAATTTTATTTTCAATTCCTCTCAACTACTTACATTAAAAGAACTGTTTTTGCAGATCCTGTTTGAGCTCTTTCAGATGGGGCCTTGTAGGTTTCTGGTTTGTCAAACTGTAGGTCTCCTAGGCTTGACATTGTCTTAGCAGTGTCCAAAAAAATGGACAAATCCTATAATGAAAGCAGCTGTGTGCTGCCAAATGTACATTTCAAAAAACGTCTGGTTTACACCCAGTCATGTCAAGAATCTTTGATTACTGATTTTTCCATGACATTTGCCCATCTACCAGAAATTTCTAAACGTTTTGGAATAAAACATGTCTTATCACAATCTAAATACTAATTTATATTCTGTCTTTATATCTGAATTATCTTATATGTACAGAATCAAACAGAAGACAGTATACGAAAAGAGCTTATAGCGTTACAAGAAGACAAACACAACTATGAGACAACAGCCAAAGAGTCCCTGAGGCGGGTTCTTCAGGAGAAAATTGAAGTGGTCAGAAAACTGTCTGAAGTGGAGGTACTGAAGTTTCATGCCTAGTCTTCTGGAAATAGTGTTTTATGTTTACTTCTAGCTTTTTTCTCCTTTCCAATCCTGTATACGGAAAGGACAATTCTTCTGACTTATCCAATTGCTAACTGACTTACCAGTTGTTTCTGACTTAATACTTTTTCCTCTTTACTTTGACTCTTTGGGCAGAAATAGTAATTTAACTTTAGTAAGAGAATTGCTTGGGTCCTTCATGCCGCATACTTTTCTCTTCATGCAAAAGAATCATTGGCTTCTGTTTGAAAGTTGTCCTTTTAATGATTATTATATTATGTAGTTTTGAATGCCCCCGTTTTTTTTTAAGGTGTTTTTGGTCTGATTTGGTGGTGAGGAACTAAGTCAGAGCTTGTTAAAAAATTTAAAAATTGTATGAATGAGGAGACAAACCTTGCCCTATGAGGAGGAAACTCCATACACCGTTTAGTTGTGCTGCTGTTACCAGCTGATGCAAACTTCTGGATCGTTCTTGTCTCCTGAAGACCCATGTGCCCTTTTGAGTAAGAGGGTCTTAGTTTAGATGCCTTTTCACATTATGCAGTTCAGAAAAAGATTCAGAACGCCTATATAATGTGTTAAATCTTCTGCTGAGTGGAAGGTATGATGAAATCTATTGATTACATTGAATCACAAAGTATTATAGAACTTTCACAGTTTATCATAAAACAGAAGAGAATGGGGGAGATGGATGACACGTTTCAGTTCTTTATTCCTAGGAGTCATAATTAATTGTATAACCAACTGCGGGTTTTTGCCTTGGGTTTTTTTTTTTTTACATATGCATGAGGCTAATATGTTTTCACATAGTCTGTTCTTTAAGTAGACCATTTCAAAGGTTTGTATAGTTAGTGTTTTTGCCAGGACTTAATCTGTTTGTTTAGCTTAATTTAGGAACAAAGCAGTTTTATATGATTAGTTGCATATACTGCTTGGAAAAAAATAGATCAACTTCACTGGTGGATTATTAGTCTATTTTTTTTATTTATTACATGATAATTCTGTCTTACAGCGGAGTTTAAGTAATACAGAAGATGAATGTACTCACCTGAAAGAAATGAATGAGCGGACTCAGGAAGAATTAAGAGAATTAGCTAATAAGTACAATGGAGCTGTAAATGAAATTAAAGATCTTTCTGACAAGCTAAAGGTAAGAATGTTATCTGACTTAATAATGGTACTATAATGGATGGAAAAAATCCCACCCAATTTAATTTTGAATGTAGAGATCAAATAAAGATGAAGAAACTTTTAAACACCAGGTAAATAAAAGAAAGATGCACATAACCTTTTGCATATTATTTTGGTTTACATTTAATGTATTTGAAAGTGTAACCAGTTAAGTAAATTGCTGAAAAGGTTCCCTTTTTGTTTGCTTTGAAAGTTACCATAAACATCTTAAGTATATTAATATTTAAAGGTGCTTTATGCTGGAAAACAAAATAATCGCAGTATGGTGAAGCCTGTCTCCAGTCTACTCTCCATATAGATGTGGAGGAGGAAGGTAGTTTGAAAGTGTAACCAGTTAAGTAAATTGCTGAAAAGGTTCCCTTTTTGTTTGCTTTGAAAGTTACCATAAACATCTTAAGTATATTAATATTTAAAGGTGCTTTATGCTGGAAAACAAAATAATCGCAGTATGGTGAAGCCTGTCTCCAGTCTACTCTCCATATAGATGTGGAGGAGGAAGGTAGTTGTGTTCTCTTTGTAGATCTGAGACAGTTGTTGCATTTGTCTTGCATAAATACTGGAATTGGAGCTTTGGTTCTTTGAGTCCTAGTTCAGCACCTCAGAAGATGTTTATTTCCAAATTAAAATGATAAATTGCTGGTCTTAAGGGCATTGATTTCCCAATTATGAGTTGATCACTGATGATGGTGATGAGAATACACAGAAGGATCAAAATTGAAACATATTACCTAGTTTTGAGGTAGGAGAGTCTTTGATACTTATTATCATGAAATCCAGCAAGGAAAAAGATGTGGCTTTCAGTCAGGTTGGTCTGTGCAATGTACATTCAGTTCAGAAGGACTCCTGGGTTTTGATTGATTTGACGTGCTGGGAGTCTTTAGGTGTTTCTTAGTTCTTGGGCCCTGGCACTTTGACAGGAAAACAGGTTCTTCAGACAAAAAGTTATTTAAGACATTTTAAGATTCTTTCTCTTTGTTATTGTGCTTGAAGTTGAATTTATAGAAAAATAACACTAGAAAAAATTTGCATTGTGTCAATTTTCTTGATCTGACTGGCAAAGTTACTTATGTGCTTTTAGATATACAAAAATTAAGGAAATCTATTTCTTACATGTTAATTTTGATCTGTTTGGGGATTTTTTAAATCTTTCGAGCAGGTAGCAGAAGGAAGACAAGAAGAAATTCAACAGAAAGGACTGGCTGAGAAAAAAGAATTACAGCATAAAATAGATGAAATGGAAGAGAGAGAGCAAGAGCTTCAAGCAAAAATAGAAGCTTTGCAGGCTGATAATGACTTCACAAATGAGCGGCTAACTGCATTACAAGGTTAGTAACTAGTGGGGAAGAAACTTTGGTTATTTGTTTTTCTTTTAATCTGTGAAATATCTTTTTCTTGGACTTTCGTTTACAGTACGGTTAGAACATCTTCAGGAGAAAACTCTTAAAGAACACAACAGCTTAGGTAGGTGTGATCAGTTTCTTGTTTCAAGCTGGTTTCCAGATTTTCTGTTCAATTACTTTTATTATTGGAACTTGATGATCTAAAAGGTCCCTTCCAACCTGAACCATCCTATGATTCTATGATTATAGTAATCTTGCAGTATAGGGGTCTGGCAAAAGAATAATGTTTTACAGTTGTTCCAGTGGCGCTTTCTTCTTGGTATCACTTGATAACATTGAAAGGTGTGTGCCCACAACAGAATGCCAGTAGAGGGCACTGCTGTTGTGAGTCTTCAGACTTCTGGGTCATTGCTCAATTTAGAGCTCTGTGCCCCCTCATTTCCAAGATTTTGAAGGTTTTTGTATACATACATGTAAAAGGATATTTTTTTTTACATTATATATATATTTATGTAATAGGCAGTAATTCTTTGGATGATAATAATTTCTTGTATGTTTGAACAAACAGGAAGGTGATCTGTAATGCAGGAAAACACTAAATTTTGCCTGTTATGTTTGATTAGATTAGGTATTTAGGAGGAGGAGGACCTATGAAAAGCCAGATGCGTTTCACAATTCTGTATTTATAAAGAAACAAAACCCAAAACGTTTTGCTTGATTCCAGAAATAATACCCTTTCTTAATCCTAGGCATACAAGTTGACGACTTCATACCTAAAATTAATGGGAGCACAGAGAAAGGTAGTGTATCTTAAGGCTACCTTTTGTCTTATGGTTGATGTTTGAAGTTGAACAAATTCCAAATGTCCTCTAAAGTTTTACTTCAAATAATACTCTTTTAAAAATGAAATTGAATTTGTTCACTCCTCTGACCAGCGTTTTTTTGCTTAGACTTTCAGTAGAAAGTTTTGTAAAACTTAATGAGCCAACTTGGAAGTCGTCTGTCCTTTTTCCCCCTCTCCCTTCCCCCCCCCTC